ACGCTTCCTGTAAACCCCAAACCCTAAACCCTAAACCCTAAACCCTAAACCCTAAACCTTAAACCCTAAACCCTAAACCCTCAAATATTTCTTACACTGTGCGTTGAAGAGACAACATTTGCTTGTACGCCACCGCTGCTGTCGGCCCAGAATACTGAAACGCCGCGTGCCTGTTCACAAACCCTAAACCCTAAACCCTAAACCCTAGACCCTGAACCCTAAACCACAGCGCCTGAACCCCAAGCTCGGAGAGCCTCAAGGAGGGTGGAAACGAAGGGGCTGGCTGGGTAGGGGTCTGTATTAACTTAAGATTAGGGTTTAGGGTTTAGGGTTTAGGGTTTAGGGTTTACGGGACGATGATAGTCTTCACTGTGCCCTCTACGGTGGAGGCGCCATCGAGCAGTGCATCGACAGCAGCGCGGAGTTCAGGTCCTGCACACAAACCCTAAACCCTAAACCCTAAACCCTAGGATGCATAGTAAGGGTCCGGGGACGGGGCCGCGGTGCATACGGCCGCCTCTACAGCTTATATTAGGGTTTAGGGTTTAGGGTTTAGGGTTTAGGGTTTAGGTACCTGAGCCAGGATACCACGATCCCGCGTGGACCGAAGGGCGGATAACCTCCTGCACAGCAAAACCCTAAACCCTAAACCCTAAACCCTAAACCCTAGAGTTTGTCTGTCGAGGTTGTTGCTATGGATGCAGGGAATGGCATTCCATAGAAAGAGGGTTTAGGGTTTAGGGTTTAGGGTTTGTGGTTTAGCATCAGAGGTTTGGCTTCGGCTCACCGTTGTATCTGCTGCAAGGGCCCCGCGACTGCAGAGCAGCAGCAGCAGCAGCAGCACGAGCTGCAGCAGCAGCGACGGCAGCAGCAGCATGAGCTGCGGCCTGTAGTATTGCTGCTGCTGCTGCTGCTGCTGCTGCTGCTGCTGCAGCTGCTGCCGGCTCCACCGGCGTTGAGAGCAAATCATCTGGGTGCGTGTAGAAGAGGAGAGNGCTGCTGCAGCTGCTGCCGGCTCCACCGGCGTTGAGAGCAAATCATCTGGGTGCGTGTAGAAGAGGAGAGAGAAAAAGAAAGAAATGCAGGGAGCAGCAGCAGAGAGAAGGTGGTGTTTGTTGGGGTGTACGTACACCCCGTTGCATGCCCGCAAGCGCCCCCGGGGTGTTGAGGTGTATATACAGCTCAGATATATACTGGTGGCGGTGGTTTTATATAAAGAGAAGAATTTTATTTATATAAATGTTTACGCCAATAGGGGATAGAGGGAGGCGGAGAGATATATACAAGCTATCTATCACCAGGGCATAAACCCTAAACCCTAAACCCTAAACCCTAACTCCTAAACCCTAAACCCTTAACCGTAAACCCTAAACCCTAAACCATCAAAATTCAAGAGCTAACGCTCCTATGTATAAACCAATGCTACATATGGGGGGCCCCCACGCATCCAACACGATCCCCATCCGCAGCCCTAAACCCTAAACCCTAAACCCTAAACCCTAAACCCTAAACCCTAAACCCTAAACCCT